CGGGCGGGCCGCCGGGCGGGGGCTGTTCCTCGCCTCGCTCCCACCCCCGCCGGGGCTTCGCCGGCGGCCGCCGCTGCTGCCGGCGAGCGCTGGGAGGCGACGGCGAGTCCCTGCCGCCGGATCCGTTCGGGGAAAGCGAGCGAGCGAGCTGAGCGAGACTTTTACCTTTTCTCTCTTTTCCCGTCTTTACCCACCATGCTGCGGACGCCGCTGCCCGCGGAGGAGAAGCGGCGGCTCAGCCCGGCGCCCTTCTCCTGAGGAGATGAGGGAGACGCGGCCGGGCCGGAGCTAGCGCGACCCGCGCCTCTCCCCCGTCCTCCCCTCTCCCGCGTCCCCGACCACCATGAGGGAAGAGAGAGAAGCCGCCGCGGCCGCCTCCCACCACGGACCCAGCAAAGCCCCGCAGCACTGCCAGCAGCCGGACGGCGGCGGGGCGGCTGCCCCCCTGGCGCTCCCCGGCGGCGGCGGCAGCAACCCGGAGAGCCTGCGGAACGGCTACGTGAAGAGCTGCGCGACCCCCCTGAGGCAGGACCCCCCGAAGAGCTTCCTCTCTCTGCTGCTGTTCCCTGCCGCCGCCGCCGCCTCCTCCCGGGCTCTGCTCAGCCTGGGCGCCCTGGCCGCCCTTGTCCTCTCGCTCCTGGCCTTTCACGGCCGGGGCAGCGCCGGGGGCCAGCAGGACGGGAGCAGCTGGCGCAGCCCCCGGCCGTTGCACGCCTTGCTGTGCCTGTCCCGCTGCCTCAGCCCCCTCTTCAGCATCGCCTGTGCCTTCTTCTTCCTCACCTGCTACTTGGCCCGCGGCAGGCGCGGAGAGCACGGCGGCGGCACGACCCGCTGGTGGCTGCTGGCGCTTCCCGTGTGCTGCTACTCGGGGGACTTCGTGGCGCTGCAGTGGCTGCTGCCCGCGGAGGGGCATGGAGAGGAGCCCCAGCCCCCCGCCGAGCCGCAGATGGTCCTGGGCAGGCTCCTGACGGTGCTGGGCTCGGTGGCAGCGCTGACCCTGCTGCAGAGCTCCCTGAAGTTGCGCCGGAGCCTCCTCGTCTTGGTCTTCTCCAGCCTGGTGTGGCTGGTGTCGCTCACCAGCCTTCACTCGCTCCCCCCAGCCCTCAGACCGCTGCTGGCCGGCTCGGTCGGGGTGGCAGGCTGCCTGCTGGCACTCTGTGGCGGGGAGCACGGCATCTTCTCGGCTCAGAGCCGAGGAGCGCACCACCAGCATCATCACCACCCACGGCTCCCCAGCGTGGAGGAAAAAGTGCCTGTGATCAGACCCAGGAGGAGATCTAGCTGCGTATCCTTAGGGGAGACTTCGGCCAGCTACTATGGCAGCTGCAAAATGTTTAGGAGACCCTCGTTGCCTTGCATTTCCAGAGAGCAGGTAGGTTTCTCCGAAACTGGAGGGAGAAACTTTGAGGAATGAGCGCCACTCACTTTTCCTAACTGCTGTGTATGTCTGTGCGGGATGTCTGCTAACTGTCAAACTCCTGTTAGAGGAATGGAGGAAAATGTTGGTCCCTTAGTGGGTTTCTCAACTCGGTTCTGCAGAATCGATATAATCCTTTATGTCTGTATAGAAGCTAAATCATCATATTGTGTTTGTTATAGGGCAGAAGGCTCGCTCGCTCTTTGTAGGATCTTAAATATTAATAAGTAGTTCTTATTGGTTAAAACAAAACCCCAAACCAAACATCTTCAGCTATCAGCTACCTTGTTATTTTGACTGTTTCTTTTCCAAAGACCAACAACTCCTCCGCTTCTGGCAGACGTTACGAGAGAAAGCAACCACAGCTTTCTAGCTCTTCGGCACTTCTGGTTCTTCCCGCTTTCTATCGACAAAATGATTGCCAAGTGCTAAAGAAATATCGGGGTTTGAGGGGTATTATTTATCAAATCTTGGCATTGTTTGAGTGGCAGCTGTCCTTCTACCTTGCACATTACTATCTCTTGTTTCTCTCTCTCCCACTCATCCTCTCTTCCTCGCTCCACATAGGTTAACGTTAGCTTTGGGTTGATGTGATTTAAGCAACTCCTTTTTACTGAAGAGAGAGCTGTACAGGAGAGTCTGGAGGCATGCCTGAAACGCTCAGTTTTATTGAATGGAACTCTGTTGGTTTCTACCTCCCGGAAAACTTTTCAATGAGTCTTGTTTTTTGTAGCACGAACCCCCCGGGGGGCGGGGGGGGAGTTTGTTTTTATTTGGGAACTTGCACGTGAGCTGCAGGAACATCGAGTTGTGTTGCCGGTGGAACTGACCCGAGGCTGCGGCAAGTGGATTATCAGCCCGTTACGGTGGGGGGAGGATAAGGGGAGTGTATTTAATAAACGTGCAAGTGAACAGTTTCTAGTAAGTGATTGTTGCTGCAGGTTCCCCCATCTACTACTGTTGTGCCTGAAAGTCACAGGTACCGAATGAAATTTTCTAATTTTGCTTTGACATGTATTCTGTAATGCACCTCTTGTGATTGACTGTGAAACAGGTCTGAGGAAATACGAGGTGAATCTGAAATGGTGGAGTAGTTTTCGAGCATTTCTTTCCCTGCATTTGCACAACAGAATAGTACAGCGGTAATTGTTTTTGCATAAAAGGTTAAAATGCAAGTATGCTGTAACAGGCTTCAGGAATAGTCATTCAATAAGTTTCAAATTATCTAATGCATACTATGAAAGAAACATTAAAATATTGTACTAACAGTTAAGATATGTAGGGAATATTGTATAATAATTTACTTTCTCTGTTCCCTTCTGGATAGTAAATGCTCTCTGTTTCTGTCACATTTGTCTGCAGTACAGAAACCTCAGAAAATGTGGTTTCATTAACCTTTCTAGACGATAGAAGATATTTGTTCTTATGCAAGTTACTAAATGCTTCCTTTGATATTCGGCTCACTTCCTAAAGGCATGCGCATATTTCAAGTTAAGGCATTTATTATTCTTTAAGTAACATCATAAATGTCAACCATAACTAAATATGTAGAATTTATTGGCAGTACTTAAATCATACGTGTTCATAATAAAATGTAACTGTTTGGTAGACTTCCAGAATGTGATATCTTTGTTATCGCTGGAAGTGAACAGAAACAACAGAGATCTGAAGTTCTTTGTTTTCCTAATAGTCTATTACGCTTTACAATAAATATTTGTGCTTTACTAAGCACAGTTTAAATGGGATTCATAGATATATGTTCTGTGCAGTATTTTATATGTGATTTTTTTAAGGATAATACAGGTTAAATCCTCTGATCTCCTGTCTGACTTGGAGAAAGATCAGACATTGCAGAGCTGATAAAATATCAATTGTTCTGTAATGCTTCCTTGAAACAGAAGAAATGTATGCACTTAATGCTTTTCAGAGAGCATTTATTATGTGAATTTTCTTTAGGGACTGATCGCATGTTTTTGCAGATCTTTATAAAATATTACAATGATTCTTTTCCAATATTAATATTTTAAGCGTGAGTTTAATAAGCCTTGTTAAGGAAGATCAGTGGAGTACAAGGAATGTGCTGCAGGTCCACCATGACGGGGATACTTTGATGAATGAGAGCTAAGTTGCTATTATGATTCTATTAGAAGCATTTTGTATGATTGTTATGAACCTCTTGTATGTAGAGGTTTGTATGAACCTCTCCAAGCAGGGGCACATAAGAACAAAAAAGGCAGGTGTATCGAATCATAGAATCATAGAATACCAGGTTGGAAGGCACCTCAAGTATCATCTGGTCCAACCTTTCTTGGCAAAAGCATGCTCTAGACAAGATGGCTCAGCACCCTTTCCAGCTGAATCTTAAAGGTGTCCAATGTTGGGGAATCTACCACTTCCTGGGGGAGATTATTCCAATAGCTGATTGTTCTCATTGTGAAAAATTTTCCTCTTGTGTAGATTTTAGTTACTCTTTGAGGAAAATTGGGAATACTAGTATTGACCTTAAGTTTTCAGTTACTTGTTGATTTGAAGTTATGCCCGACTCTCTGTCTAGTTAAACACATGAGAAAATAATTATATTGAGTTGACTGTTTTTTTCATTAATAAGCTTAAGCCAGCAATTCTAAGGGGTCTGTGTGCATGGAGAGTGTGTGGGGGGGTAGAACAGGTATGTGCAACCAGTAGTGTGCGCACACTGGAATTGGATGGAGACTATCACTGTTTTCTGGGGTAGAAGCAGAAAGAGGCCATGTGAGCACAATCCTGTAAATGCTTCCCAATTTGAGCAATCCTTGTGACAGATATTTAGATTATTGCTTTCTGTACTTGTACAGGTATGGCAACTATAATGCTGCAAGGTTGATAAAATTAGATTACCTCTATTCATACCTTTTATATGAGTATCCATGCTTACTTTAGCCACCAAAGTCTACCAATTCATGCTGTGTGTGGCTTTTCTGCAGTACATATGGCTAGCAATGTAGTTTGAGGTGGGAGGAAAGAGTCTTGAAGAGATTATATCTGTTGAATTTTTATGTGAGTATACTTAAATGCCATTATCAAAATATATAGATACACATAGAAGGAAGCAATATGACTAAAATTAAGGCTAAAAATTAGGCAAATGCAATGTCTTTTCTGAACTCTACTATATTAACACTTCTTCTGCTCACAGAAATTCATATGATTTTAGCAGTAAACAGGCTTTTTGTATTCTTACTTCAGTATTCGTCTTGGACCTAGAGAGGAATTGCTTATTAGCAGTATGACTGCAGTATTGATTGGTATTACAAATTTTGTGTAGATGATGTTTTGATTGCATGTATTAATCGGATGCTAATCTGTTAGCTGTACCTACTGCTATTGGTATCAAAGGGTTTATCTTCATTGACTGTTGCCTATTTAGCACTTAATTTTTTCTTATTTTATTACTTTTTTAATCATGGAAGCCAAATCAGAATTGGGCATCTAAAAGGTGCTTGTCAGTATTGCAGATCTTGTAAACACTCTATGTCCTGAAAAATATTGTAGTAAACCATTTTTTTTTCTTTAACATGATGGTGAACATGTATATAAGAGCAAATAACTATGTGTAGGAACTCGGAACTCATGCATAGGAACTTCTCAGAATCCAGAAAGAATATGTGATTTCTAAAATTAATGTTTTTCCTTAAGTAAAGAATAGGCCTTCCTAATTAAATACACAGAATATGTGTCCGAAACAGTCTGCAAACAGAGCTGATATTTTTCCTAGTTACCTGACTAGATTCAAACACGTGGGGAGGCTGGGATATTTCATGGATAAAGACTGCTTTCTTGTTGCACTCTGTTAATTACAGGAAGAATTGTCTTGTGGTTAGGTTGTTGGATTGACTGCCACCTCTCCCCAGTTTCTGTTCCAAGCTACCTCGTACCTTTGATGCACTACCTTAGGAAGATCAGGACTCGATTTCAAGAGTCTAAAATATTTATGTAACTTGAAATTAATGCAGTTCCTTATTTGCTTAGACAATTTGTATCTGTGTCTGTTACCTATTTGTGAAACAAATTATACTTTGTCCTTAAGTACTCAGGGTACAAACTCAAGTGCAGAAGCTGTCTACTAATATGTATTTTACAGTCTTAAAATTGTTAAATAGATACTGTTTGCAGCCTAGAAATGTGAACCTTTACCTGTTGATTGCAGCCAGTAACAAAATGTAACTCTTCTTGCTATGCATTTGACAAACTAGCTCTTTGAAATTTTAAGTTTTCCCCTAATGATTACAATGACTGTTACCACGAGTGTACCTGCATGTCAAGATTTGTTTCTGTTGTTAACGGAATCTTTGTATCTCTTGGGTTTTTATTATTTGTCATATGGGGAAAATCAAGATAGAAATGTGGGTGTGTTGAGCTGTGAATGTAATCAATTTCAGTGGGATGTGACTGAATATGGGGAATATACAAAGCGAATGATTACATGGTGAAAGCAGCAGTCTTGGAAAACTGTTTTTGCAACCTTTCAGATGAGTAGGATTATATTGTTTCTGTCTGGTGTTCTCTGACCTTGACAAAGTGTTTTGCACTAGATGAAATGTGAAATAAGAAGAGTCTTGCTAAAAGTTGGATCCTTTTTTCTTCTTTTTTGTCCTTTCTTTTCATCCTGAAGTTATATTCTTGAAGTATTATACTGCACAGAAGGGATGATTTGAGCATGGTCTGCCCATAGAGACCTGTAGAGAGGTCAGAGTTTAAGATGGTATCCTCTGGTAAAGTGACCACCAGGACCATGCAGTGGTTCACAGAGAATGACAAAGAATGCTGTTAGGGAGACTGAGTGCAGTTAAGAACTCTTAGCTAAGTTTACCTTAAGCTGGTTTTTAGATATCCAAGACTTGGTGGCAGTTCATGTTCTGGACAGAAAAAATACACTAAAATCGGGGAAATGTCTGTAAGTTGTCAGTGTAGCAAAG